AGAAAGAAGCAGGAATTCTGGAACCCAGAGCAAGGCCAGGGTGGACCTGCAGAGACCCCTTAAGCAATGGTGGCAAGCAAATCTAGGAGGAAGACACCCAGGTGGGTGACTGTGCCCATGGAGACAAGAACAGAAACCATGGTCCTTAAATTCCAGCTCCAGAGCTGATCTGGGCTCCAGACCACCCAGGCCAACTTCCCGGTGGTCCTGGTATCCTGCAAGAGCAGGGATAGGCCCCAGGCCACACAATTAGCAGTGGGGACATAACTAGGACCCTGTCTCTTGAGTCCCACCTAGTGCTGTTCCCCTTACTTCGTGCTCCATCAAGTCCAGCTGGTGCCAGGCATCTGAGGGCCATCATAGGAAAGGACTCTCTTTGGGACAAACTTTGAAATCTTTTTAAAAAATGTACACATGCTTGAAAAGTCCCTGTCCCCTTCCTGGGAAGGTATTTGTGGATATTTGCGAGCCAATGAGCGAGGCGGTAGGAGGACCCTTGAGATGGGGTGAAGGCACACCTGGGTGAAGTTGTTTTCTGAATCTTGGAGCAAGTGCTGAGAAGAGTTCTGAAAGAAAGAAAAGGAGAGGGCTAGAGAGAGAGTGAGAGGCACAGAGACAGAAACAGACTGAGACAGGGACAGGGGAGATAGAGAAAGACACACACAAGCAACAGACACAGGGCGACAGAGTGACAGGGAGATTGATGCACACAGTTAGGGATATGGAGAGAGAAGACTAGAAGAGAGGAAGGGGCAGGCCCTGCCCTGACACACAGCCCTTCTGTAGAGTCCCCCTGATGAAGCTGAAGTCTGTTCGTGAGACCATGAAGGAGAAGGGCTTACTGGAGGAGTTCCTGAGGACCCACAAGTATGACCCTGCTCAGAAGTACCACTTCAGCGACTTCAGCGTGGCCTATGAGCCTATGGCCTACATGGATGTGAGTCCAGACCCTCCCCAGGAGTATCCCTCTCCCTAGTGCCAAAGGCTGAGGGCCAGGCGGGGTGTGGGCTGCACCCCTCTTCCCTGACCCTTACTCTGCCCCTGTGGCCTGCTCCCTTCTCTCAGTCCTGACAGCCTGGACCTCACTGCCTGGGGGTGACTGGCCAGAGCGTGGGGGGATGCCCTTGTTGACCTGGCAGTCAAGCTACAGAGACCTTTGTGGCTGCCCTGGGCAGGAATGGACTGAGGGTCTGTGGGTTCTGGGCAGGTATGGAGAGAAGACTTGGGCCCCTGCTTCTAGTGTAGGCTGTGGGGCAGGGACTGGTCCCTTCCTGCTCTGGCCATGGAGAAACCTGGGTCCCTGGATTCCTCCAGAGCTAACAGCCTTCCCCATGGCCCCCCAGGCTGCCTACTTTGGTGAGATCAGCATCGGGACTCCACCCCAGAATTTCCTGGTCCTTTTTGACACTGGCTCCTCCAACTTGTGGGTGCCCTCTATCTACTGCCAAAGCCAGGCCTGCAGTGAGTGCTGGACTGGGCAGGGAGGGGTGGTGGGCGGGACAGGGCACTGATGCCCTCCGGGTAGGGCCAGGCCTCAGGAGGGATTGCTGAGGGGAGCTCAGTCCCGGGCAGGACCAGGCACTTGTGCAGGGTCACAGAGCATGTCCAAGCCACAGAGAAGAGGCTGGCTGTGCAGCCGGGTGGCTCCTTTGTTGTCCCTGCTGGCCAGTACATATCCCCTTGTTTATGCCAGGCCATCTCACCCCACCCCATTTTATTCCACTCTACCCCATTCTGTTCACTCTGGGCAATGCCATTTCATTCCGCATGAAGAATCTCCATTCCATTCCATCCCAGTCTTTCCACAACATTCCATTCTACTCCACTCCACTATTTACTAAGTTCTCACTGAGTGTCTCCAAGGGACATGACAGAACAATATAGGATGGGGTCCCCATCCTGTAGTGGTTTGTTCACTTTCTAAGCATTTCCCTGGTCCCTACTGAAGCCTTGGGGTTTGGGTCGTGACACCCGTGGCCCAAGGGTCTCTCGTTGGCCCCACCTTATGCTATCTCAGGATCCTGGAGGGTTGGGGGAATGCTGGGCTGCCCTGAGGCCCATTTGCTCCTCCATCTGTCAGAAAGGGTTTGGGGGCCAAGGCTGGCTACCTCCTGACTCGGTGCCTGGGGGATGCTGAGGCCCCAGGATGTGAGCACAGGCTGAGTGAGGGGCTGAGGTGGGAGCCCCACAGGCCTGAGAGCCGGGCAGCCTCCCCTCAACAGCCTGCCTTCCCGCCTCCACCCTCCCTGCAGACAGCCACTCCCTCTTCAACCCCAGCCAGTCCTCCACCTACTCCTCCGACGGGCAGACCTTCTCCCTGCAGTATGGCAGCGGCAGCCTGACTGGCTTCTTCGGCTATGACACTCTGACTGTGAGTAGCTGCTGCATGCTGCTCCCCAGCCCAGGATGTGGGGAATGCAGGCCAGGACTCTGAGCTGGATGGGGAGACTTAGATGGAGACCCTGAAACACGATGGAGATGCCAGTGCCCTGGTGTACAGGACAGGAAGTCGGTGCAGGAGGGGCTGGTTCATTCACTCCTCAAGCATTTGCTGAGGGCATGCATGTGCCAGGCACTGGGGACACCATGATCAACGAGACATGGTCCTTTTCCTTAAAGAGCCTGGAGCCTGGTAAATCCAGCAGAGAGAGATGAGGTCAGGGAGGCATGCTGCGGTAGTCAGGGAAGGCTACTTGAGGGGTCTCTGCGGGGACCTGAGGGAGGTAGGTGGAGTCAGTCTTGTCACCTCTCCTCCTTTGTGTCCACCCTCCAGGTCCAGAGCATCCAGGTCCCTGACCAGGAGTTTGGCCTGAGTGAGAATGAGCCGGGTACCAGTTTTGTCTACACACAGTTTGATGGCATCATGGGCATGGCCTACTCTGACCTGTCTGTGGGTGGGGCCACCACAGCCTTGCATGGCATGCTGCGGGAGGGCGCCCTCACCAGCGAAGTCTTCAGCTTCTACCTCAGCAAGTGAGGAGCCACCCGCGGGTCCCTGGCTCCTGTCCCACTCCCCCTGCAGCCCTGGACAACTGAGGCACAATGCTCTCGGGTTTAGGGGTCTCCCAGTAGGCATCTGGCTCTAGCCACTCCTGTTCTGGGCCCTTCCTTCCTGGGCTTATGAATCCTCCCCAATCCCCACTCCTGTGTCTATCCCCAGGCCACTCTGACTTTGCATTCCTTGAGAAGACAGAATCACTCCCACTTCCAGGTGGACTTGGCTTTGAGTGCTGCTGCTCTAATTCTCCCCACCTCCTGGAATTGCCTCCTGCCAGGGCCCCAGCTCACTTCCTGCAAATGTTTTTTACCTGTACACCTCTTTTGTATAGCAACCTATTGCTTCATCTCCTTTGATCTATTGTTCTGGCTTGGTCCTGGAGTCTTCTGGTCTAGGTGCACCACTGACTCCTAACAAGTTGTTAGTCTTACCAACAAACACGAGCAAACAGTCATTTAGTGCAAATGGGCTCCAATCCTAGTGGTGGGTGGGGGTGAGTGGCCTGGGCCTGACTTTTTCTTTTTTCCTTTTCAGAATTAGCCAGGGCCGAGCCCGTGGTGCACTCGGGAGAGTGTGGCGCTGGGAGTGCAGCAGCGCTCCCGCCATGGGCTCGGATCCTATATAGGCACGACCGGTGCGCTCACAGCGCTCACTGGCTGAGTGCGGTGCGGCCGGTCTCAAAAAGGACAAAAAAAAAATAATAATAAAATAAGAATTAGCCAACCACCTTCTAGAGACAGTTAGCATCTACTCTCTGTGGCTTAATCACTTGAGCCTGACTTTCAACAATATCACCCTGTACTAATGTTGCTGACTTACACTCTCTGCCTCTGTTTACGATTACTCTGCATGTCAGCTTTGAGGCACCAAGTCCCACTCTCCAGCTACCAGGGGAGGCCCTGGAACAAACACATAATGTCCTTCCTTCCCCTCCACCAAGGCCCCACCTCTTTCCAATCCCCAGAAGAAAAGGAACCAGGTGGGCCTGGCTGGGGATCCTGGTGACACTTCCACCACTGGTATGAAGAGGAAGGCAGAAGACAGTGGAGTGGGGCAGGGTGGGAGGACCAGCAACTAGCGGCTCCACCAGAGGCAGGACACCATGGGGAAGTGGCATTCCAGAGCTGGAGGCACTGGGAATTCTCAGAGGCTCATCCAGGAAGCCCGAGTCTAAGGTGGAGACACAGCCCCATCCTCAGGGAGCCCCAGTCTGAGGGGGAGACACAGCCCTGTCCTTGGGGAGCCCCAGTCTGGAGCCAGAGAAGGAGGTGTTTCCTTCTGAAGGTGACAACTCCCTTTTCCACGGCCACTCCCTGACTTATCCTTCCTTTGTCTCTTGCAGGCAGCAGGGCTCTCAGGATGGGGGAGCGGTCATTTTTGGGGGTGTAGACAACAGTCTGTTCACAGGGCAGATCTACTGGGCCCCCGTCACCCAGGAGCTGTACTGGCAGATTGCCATTGAGGAGTGAGTCTGTCGGGGGGGGTCCTGGGGATGTGGCACTTCCTTGGAGCAGGCTTCGAGGCACCCCATGTCACACATACCCAGGTACTGCTGGGACAGGGGTGCCGGGGGGGGGATGCAGAGGATCCGTGAGGCCTCCACAAAGGTACAGTGTCAAAACCCTGCTCAGTCTAGAGAAGAGAGGTGGGGTGGAGAAAACACGGAGGAGTAGGGCCTTGATTCCCAAACATAAGAGACCCTGGAGTCCAACCCCACTGGTTTACAGATTAGAAACTGGGGTGAGTATAGGTACTAATTTGCTTGAAGTCCTTACGGTGAATCAGTGACCCTTTCAGTGTTTCTAGAAGCTTTCTTGAAACTTTTTAGAACTAGATCCCATGCCCATTTACGTGGCCTTGCATAGACTTTGGTATGGTGTGACACAGGGGAATAGCTGGTTTGACCTCTGCAGAGTCCTTACGTTCCCCAACTACACCTTGATTTAGTGGCTATAGCTGTTTCTCCCTCATCAGTGGGGAAAGCCCACCCCTGGCTGCCCTGGGTTGGTAGGGTGCTGAGGCTGCCCCTCTCATCATTCAGGTTCCTCATTGGTGACGAGGCCTCTGGCTGGTGCTCTGAGGGCTGCCAGGCCATTGTGGATACAGGCACCTCTTTGCTCACCGTGCCCCAGCAGTACATGAACGCCCTCCTGCATGCCACAGGTGCCCAGGAGGAGGAGTACGGAGAGGTGCGTCTGGTGGGGTATCCCCTTCCCCAGGAGAGGCCAGCCTACATGCATTTATGGCTTCTCCTGGGAACACAAGAATAGCCTAATCATGGCCTTGCCTCTTGCTGCCCAAGGCACCGGAGGTGGGGGGCCTGGGACAACTAGGGCTGGGGGCAGAATGGGAGCCTGGAAGCTGTTTCAACTGGGGCTAAGATGCTTGTGCTGAGGGAGTATGGGAGGTTATTATTAGGCAAGAATTTCTTCTGAGCTGCAGTCACTCTGAGGAAACAGATTAAACAATTGCTGGGCTTTGGGGTAAGAGCAAAATAACTGGAATGTTGGGCTAAGCAAGTGAGTGACAAGGGTTAACCCTTTATTTACACCTCTCTCACCTCCACAGGGCCATGCACCCCTGCCCCTCTGTCCTAAGCCCAGCAAAGGGCTTGCCTAATTAACCCATTCCCACTAACTTTGGGGGACCAAAGGGGTGCACTTTCTAAATATCTGTGTGTTTTAAACGGATGCTTGCAAAGAAAGGGCAGAGATTCAATCTCATAGGGGGAATTCAGGCAAGAGGAATGTTTTTGGGTTGGGGAGATCCTCAGGTCTCCCCAAATTCCACCCACCCTATATGAGTCCCCATGTGTAATGCCGATGGTAACTACATAGGACTTTCCCTTGAAGCAGCATCATCCAGTCCAAAAGCAGGCTTGGGGCTCAGGCCTGGCAGCTGGGGGCTGAGATGGCAGGGCTGGTGGGGACTCTCAGTAGGAGATGAGGCAAGCTGGGACCCGTTCCTCTCTGCAGTTTCTTGTGAACTGTAACAACATACAGAACCTGCCCACCTTCACTTTCATCATCAATGGTGTGCAGTTCCCTCTACCACCCTCCGCCTACATCCTCAGCGTAAGTACTGGTCCCTGCAGGCTGAGCCACCATGGTTGGGGGTGGGAGGATGGGGTG